TATATATATATATATATATATTTAAGGTCAAAAGATGATCAGTAAAACATCAACTAATTATTAAAGGGATAGATAAATCTGTCATCATTTACTCACCCTCGAGTTGTTCCAAACCTGTATGAGTTTCTTTCTTCTGTTGAACACAAAAGAAGATATTCTGAAGAATGTTGGTAACCAAACAGTTGGCTGTTTGGTTACTAACAAAATATATTAAGCAGAAGAAACTGATGACAGAATATTCATTTTTGAGTGAAATATCCATTTAACTTGTGTTTAAAGGTGCCATTTTTTTATTCTTTTTTTTTTGTATCCGGTTAATAGGCAGTGAACCAGGCAGGGGCAGGCCCCTACAGTGATCTGGTGACGTGTCGGACCCCTGCGGCGGCCCCTGATGTTGTATCTGGATTTCGCCACGTTGACCACCCTTTGAACCCAACAGAAAATGAACCCTTCTCCCACTCCACCTGTCTGGCCCTTACCTGGGACGAGCCTCACTGTAATGGAGCAGAAATCACCTCCTACAGCATCTCAATGGGAGACCGCATCATCACCACCAGAAGCGTAACCGGTCACATTATCAGGGACCTGCTGCCGGACAGCGAGTACAGGTGACCCGAGATGTTGTTTAACACTCCGTACCTCTTTTTCTACCACCGTGCATCATGAGCTCTTTGGAGGAGGTCAATGTTTGTGCATTAGTGATGACCGGGGACTTATTTTCCCATGGTCCCTGTAATATATAGAAGAGTGCTGGTGAACCTCGAGCAGGTCTCGGAGTGAGTATGTCAGTGTCTATTAGCTCTACAAATGGACTCCACTTACATCTGATGATGTGTTCAGCAAAACGGTGCTTTCTGGGTAGATTCAAGAGTATTTATGTAACTTTACTGTTAGCAGGGTATTTTTTAAACAAGATGTGTGACTGCACCATGGAACAGTGATGTATTAGATGCAAATACCACATTTTCAGGGTTTCTGTGAGTCTTAAAAAGGTCTTAAGTATTAATTCACCCTGCCACAAATTAAGGCCTTAAAAATGTATTTTTTCATTTTATTTAACGTTTCTTAAAGTCTTAAACTTACCCTCATAAAACTGTAATTACCTAAAAAATACTGTAGTGTTATGTAAAAAAACAGTAGTATGTGTCCAAAAACCATGGTATATCCATAATTAAATATTGTACTTTTTTTTACATGTGCAATCCTCCTTATGTAAATGTGAATAAATATTAAAAGGAGGAGCTCATTAACAAATTTGCATGAGGGAATGACTCTCTCTTGCGATCTGCCTGCTGATGGGCTTCCGGAAAGCGAGTCTGTTAAATGTTATGTAAAGGCTTTAATTTGGGATGAATGACAACATTAAATGGACCTCTCCATCGGAGTAATGGACAGAGAAACACATCCCCAATTAATTTGCCAAATGCAAATGCACTCATAATAATCATATGAACGTATGAATAATGTCTCTAATGGAACTAGAGGTTTCGATATCTTTCTCGAGCAGTCAAAAAAAGAACATGTTCCAGCTCACCCTAATGACCCAATGTTACCAAAATCTATTTGGACACCTAAATTATGTGAATATTAAAGCATTAAATAACTAAACATTAAACGCTGTGGTCTCTGAAAATAAATTATGCTCAACCTTCTCTCTGAACCAACTTTTTTTCCAAGGTAATTTTTAATGTATCTATGAACTGTTCACACAGGTGCTACAGAAGTATCACGTTAATTATAAACACGATCACTGTTTGACAAGCACAAAGTGTTCTAATACTTTTGTCTTCATTTTGAACAGTATATCTATATGTATTTATTTCTAATGTATTACTAACACTAAAATGTATCACAGTTTTCACAAACATATTAAGCAGCACATCCATTTTCAACATTGATAATAATAATAAGAAATGTTTCTTTACCATCAAATCAGTATATTATAATAATTACTAAAGGGTCATGTGACTCATGAAAATTCAGCTTAGCCATCACAGAAATAAATTACATTTTATAACATATTTAAATAGAAACAGTTATTTTAAACTGTAATAATATTTCAAAATATTACTGTTTTACTATATTTTTGGTCAAATATATGCAGCCTTAGTGAACATAAGAGACTTCAAAAATATATATTAAAAAATAAATAAATAAAATAAATCTTAACTATATATATATATCCCTGAATGTTAAGGGTGGTGTAGCATTCAGATACTTTGGTGCTTCTCCATGTTTTTCTAAATTCATTCAATATTTCCAGAGAATCAAGACCCTTAAAAATATTTGTTCCCGTACTGTTATTTTAGTAATGTTAAGTGCTTTAAAACATGATTTTTGAACATTGTGCGAGACTTTTTAATAGAAACAGAAAGCTTCAGGTTTTGTAAATAAGCTTTTGTTAGAAATTCCATTGAGACCATGAATAGTGCTCATGGTCTCGTGAGGTTATTTACACATTGCTTGTTAGATTTTCTGCTTCCATTAGTCCTAGAAAATAGTATGCAAGGATGTACTAGTGCAAATCAACTTTTTTATGGATAATTCACTCAAAAATGACATTCATGTTGTTCCAAACCTTTTTTCTTTCTATAAAATACAAAAAGAGAAATTTTAAAGAACACACACACAGACCGCTCTTTTTAATTCAAGTAATAAATGACACCAAACCAATGGTTCATATGCATTTGAATGAGTGCAAATTATGTTTGTTCCACAAAAACAAAAAGTCATACAGGTTTGGAACAACATGAGGGTGATTAAATGAAACCATGTCCATTTGGATTAATGTTTTTGGGATATATCAAAGGTATTGTGTTGTAATAACTTTCCCTCTTTTCATAGCTCTTCATGTAAAACAATTTAGAAATGTTATCTGTCTGTTACGACTTCATATTTTTTTCAATTATTGTAAGTGCACATAAAATGTGCACTTACAATAATTGGATTCTTGGATATCTATAGATAACTTCACAGAAATCCTCATTCGAATGCAAGACCACCCCTTCAGCCAGAGTAGATCATTTTCCCCTGTGCCATCAAACTGAGTGGAAAGGTCACAGAGCAGCTTGAGGCTGAAGATACCTGCATGCTTTAACTGGGATCGACAAATAAAACAAATAAGGCAGAACGTGAACAAATGAAGGCCAATTTGGGCAAAGCTGCAGGAACTACTGACTCTTAGATAGCTGATGATGTGGATGGATGGAGTTTTTCTTAGAATAACTTAGAATTTCTTCGATTTTGCTTAGAATAGTTTGTAGGGACATTCAGGTGAAGAGAGATCATCTGAAGGCAATCAAGAATTGATGTTAGAAGTTACTAACGACTGAACAAGACTGTCAGTTTGTTTTAAAATTCTATTTCCTCTCTTTCTCCTTTTCTCAGCCTGCAGATTCGAGCAGAAAATGAAATGGGCCCCGGGCCCTTCAGTCAGACCCTAACGGTGAGGACCAGACCCCTTCCGCCGTCTCCTCCAAGGCTGGAGTGTGCAGCGGTCGGACCTCAGAGTCTGAAATTACGCTGGGGTTTCAGCAGCCGAAGTCAACTCACTGATGACACGACCTACATCCTGCAGATGGAGGACAGGAATCAGAGGTTAGCAGTGAGGGAGTGTGTCTAGGGATGCACAAAACTGTTTTGTATAGTTAGGCTAATTTGAATAAATTTTTAGGAAATGAATTATTTTTAAGGTGTCTGCTGAAAATTTGAGAGAAAAAAGTACAAAATGTATAAAAACATTTTAGAAAAAAATTTCATTTCCAGATAAAATTTGTTTTGGAATGATATTTCCTATGAAAATGCTATACAAACAAATACTAAAAATAGTTTATTTTATATTTTAATAATAATGGTTAGAATAATGTCTGTAACTCAAAGTAAATAATTTTCAAATATTATTTTAATAATTTGTTTAATTATAAATTACTTTGACATTAATGCAATGACAGCATACGAGCTAATAATTTTACTTTGCAAGCAACATGTTTTATTTATACAATCATACTATTTTTCTTGCACAGTATAAATGAGTCTACATGATAATACAGACCTATAGCTAATTTTTTTATTTATTTTTTTTTTTTTTAAAGAAGGTGATCCATAGGATCATACTTGAGGGTCCTTGGCATTAAAAACCCCTAATATGGACCTAATCTCTGTAACCTTTTATTGTACAAAAATATAATAGTCCTTAAAATTATAGAAAAGCACTGCTTTGATGTCAGTAGCAGCGGTTATGTACAGGTATGAATTTTAAAAAGTTTGCATTATTAAAACAACTACATTCTTTTTTTTAATGTCTATGTAGTTTTTATTAAGTTTTAGTTTATTCGTTTATTTTATTACTTCAACAAGCATTAGCAATAAAATATAAAGAACTTTTATTTTATTTCAGATATTTGCCAAGGCAATCTATTTTACCAAGGCAAAGTATTTTTTATTTTATTTTATTGTTTTAGTTGTAGTTTCAGTTAATGATAATGATAATAACCCAGGTTCATAATTAAAAACAATAGTCTTGTACTCAGCATCAAAAGCTTGGTAAAATGACTCAAATCATGTAAATGTTCTTCTTGGTATATTAATTGTATTCATAGTGAAGCATATCTATGTGTGTGTATATGCATGCGCTTCCTCGCTTTAATTTGTCCCTCATGCACCTGTAGGGCATGTTCTTCTCTCTGATGTAAGCAGATCGTCTGAAAAGCACATTTTGTGTTTGTGGGTCCATTAAGGTGGAGTCGGCTAATGAAAAGACCATCTCAAAGCGCTGTTGGGAATTAGATTAGGAGACTCAGGGTTATCAAGACCACCTGCCTTAATGCTTTCTCAGAGTCGCTCGTCAGTGACCCACAGATAACTCGTTTAAATACAAATGAAGGCCAGTGTTCTTCTCGGTTTTGAGCTTTCAGCCTCAGATCCACTTCTGAAAAATTTTAACCATATAAACAGTAAAGTCTGGACTCTTGAATGGAGTTAATGAAGGCCTGCTTCTGCCTCGCATTCTTTCCTGCCTTCATGCTATTTAATAAAACGACGTGAAGGGAACAATGATCTCAAGCAATCATCCGATTTTTTTTTCCTTTGCACGCAAGGCTTTAAAAAGAAATACTAGGCTGTAAATGATTGAAAAAATAATCATTAATAAACTATACTTAATTAATTTGTGTGCATGTTTGTAACAAGCTTTCATCATCTTGTTAGGTTTGTGGTGGTTTACAGAGGTCCGAGCCACACTTTTAAGCTGCAAAGACTGAGCGAATCAAGCCGGTACCGTTTCCGGATCCAGGCAGTGAGCGAAGCAGGCGAGGGGCCGTTTTCTGATACGTACACCTTCTGCACCACCAAATCTCTGCCACAAACACTGAAAGGTACCACATTTATTTATACTCACACTTGTACAGGGATTACAGAAATTAATTACAGATGTAATTACATGTAGGCATTTTTTTAATTATAAGTACAATGTAAAAACATGTATGTACACAATAAGTGCATTGTACCAAATGATTCATTTAAATGTAGTAGTTTTATGTGTGTATGTTTGTAACAAGCTTTCACCATCTCTTTAGGTTTGTGTTGGTTTACCGAGGTCCGAGCCACACTTTTAAGCTGCAGCGACTGAGCGAATCGAGCCGGTACCGTTTCCGGATCCAGACGGTGAGCGAGGCAGGCGAGGGGCCGTTTTCTGAGACGTACACCTTCAGCACCACCAAATCTCTGCCACAAACACTGAAAGGTACCACATTTATTTATACTAACTTGTACAGGTTCAAACGTTTGGGAACACTATAAAAAAAATATATATTTTTTTTTGGAAAGAAATTGATACTTTTATTCAACAAGGATGCATTAATTTAATCAGAAGTATCAGTAAAGACATTTATAATGTTAAGAAGGATTTGTGTTTTAAATTAAACGCTGGAAAAGAATCCTGAAAAAATGTATTATGGTGTCCACAAAAATATTAAGCAGCAAACATTGATAATAATAAGAAATGTTTCTTGAGCAGCAAATCAGCATATTAGAATGATTTCTGAAAGATCATGTGACACTGAAGACTGGAGTAATGATGCTGAAAATTCAGTGTTGCCATCAAAAGAATAAATAACATTTTAAAATATATTAAAACAGAAAACAGTTATTTTAAATTGTAGTAATAATTCACAATTTTACAGTTTTTACTGTATTTTTAATCAATAAATGCAAAACTGTAGTGTAAAGAACAAGGGGAAAAAAAACTGACCCTTTTTTTTGTCCTCTCAGCCCCAAGAGTTGTTCAGTTAGAGGGAAATGCCTGTGAGGTCACATGGGAGAGTATTCCACCAATGAGAGGAGACCGAATCAGCTATGTGCTACAGGTGCTGGGAGGCAGAGATTCTGATTATAAACAGGTAAGATCCAAACTCCTCATTAAACCTCCTTTGAATCGAGTTTAAAACGACTGTTCCACTCAAATTGTTTCCAAGAACTTTGTCTTGTTGGAACTGTTTGTTTAAATGGTTGAGATAAGAATGTCATGTGGTATTTTCATTTTGTTGCACAGAAGAAATACCATCTTTTTCCATGTTAGATTTACATATGGCCACAGTCACAGCAGATGAGCTGTTGATGAATAGAATTCATTCTGAACAGGAAATGGAAAACGGGCGCAAGCTATTTGCTTCATTTGCTCTTCGTTCCATTTTATGTCTTAACTCGTCACAATCAGCATTTGAATGAAATCGAGTGCTTCCAAACACACAGTCTCACAGGATTCATTAAATTGTGGAGTTGGAAAGGACACAGAAAGAGGGGAACATGTGATTATCACGATTAGGGTCCATTCAGGTGTGCAAACGCTTATTGTTTTGAAATCATTTCTGGTACGCCACTTCCATGGTGCGATAAATCGAATGGAAGTTCGCAAAATTTGTAATTATGTGTGAATTTATTTATTCATTCAAATGAGAAAACGCTCCTTTCCCCATCACATCCTCTGCCCTTTTTTTATGAATATCATTGGGTGACTCTCACATAGAAATATCCAGGTTATATTTCACCCCAAATTTAAAAGAAAAAACAAGACATTATGTATTTTAAAGTTTGTTTTTGTATTGTAAAATGTTTTTTTACAATAATCAAGTGCCCTGTGGTTCATTCTTTATTTGTTTATTTACTGTAGCTACCCAAATCAATATATTTATTGTTAAATTATTTTCTATTACTAGGGATAGAATATAAATATTTATTATTTACAGATCTCCTTACTTCCATTCTTATTCCGTCATTCATTCCTTCCTTTCTTTTTTTAAATTTAATTAATTAATTAATTGATTTAGAATAGATTTAATTATTTACATCTATACATTTGCATTTATTTAGTAATACATAATTTGTACTTTTTTTAATCATAACAATCATGATAAAACAAACATATAGTGAATTTATTTATATTTATTTTTTGTATAAATGCATTTTTATATTCCATCTCAGTCATGCTGTATAATAATAATAATAATATTAATAAATATAAATATAAAAAATGGATGTATACAAAAAATAAATATAAATCATTGTTGTTGTTGATATATAAAAATGCAAATATATAATAAATATACAAATATAATATATGAAATTTATTACAATAAACCCAAATGCATACATATAATTAAATCTATTTTGTTTAAATAAATAATACTACTACAATTTATTAATTTATTTTTATATATTTATTTAAATACAATAGACTGCCTAGAAGATGTGTGCATTTTGTAATCAATTATTTGTATATTTTACATTTTATAATTATTATGTGTTAACATCTTTATATAAAAATAATATTTAAAAAAAAATGGTTTTTTAAAATATTCCATCCCCATGTGTAACAGAATTTATTATTATTATTACATTTATAATTATCCAAAAGTGCACACAGTGAAGGAGAAATTTGAACTGTCTGGGCTAATGCATTACTTTCCTTCTGTCCTTCAGGTGTATAAGGGAGATGAGACATCCTTCCAGCTCTCTGGCCTGCAGTGGAACACTGACTACCGCGTGCGTGTGTTTGCATGCAGGCGCTGCGTGGACACCCTCCAGGAGCTGTGCGGGTCCTTCAGCCCATCCGCCCACTTCAACCTGCGGCGGTCTGACGCCACACTGGCTGTGGAAGCGGACATCACCAGGGTGCCCATAGGCAAAACCCTCAGCGATGAACAGTTTGCTGGCCTCATAGTATTTGGGGTGGCCTCTCTCTCTGTCCTGATGGCCTTCCTGCTTCAGCTTCTGATTTAGAGCCGTTCTCGTCTCTTCAGTTTTTAAACTACAGTTTGCAAAACCATTAATGCAAGTACTGTTTTGGTCATTGACCAAAATACTCCTTTTACAGTTTTAAAAAAAATCACATGAGCAGATTTCATGTTATTTTTTTTACAGGTTTTTCTATAAGATGAGTTAGAGTTTTAACAAATCAGTAATGATGAAATGTACTGTTCCGGCGTCTGTGCCTGTTTTTTAACTTTAAGATGCTGTGCATATTTTTATATTTAGTATTTAGGAGATTTTAACACTAAAGTAATAAGTGGCCTTCCGGATCTCAAGTTGGAGTATCAGATGAATATGAGGATTTTTTTTTTTTTAATGGTCAGTCCTATTTATCTTTAAATCAGTGTCTAGACAGCTAAATGGCATCAATGCTCTCGTTCCCTTATCTGTGCCCCAGGAAAGTCTGTCTAAAAGCTTCTTAAAGGCTTTATTCGTTCTCTTCTCTTTTGTTTGTCTTAAAAAAAGGTGTCCTAGGGGTGCCTGTAAAAAAAAAAAAAAAAAAAAAAACAAGCAAAATTCAAACAAACAACACACACACAAGCAAAGACATTTCCTATACATTCCGGATCTCAAGTTGGAGTATCAGATGAATATCTGAGGATTTTTTTTTTTTTAATGGTCAGTCCTATTTATCTTTAAATCAGTGTCTAGACAGCTAAATGGCATCAATGCTCTCGTTCCCTTATCTGTGCCCCAGGAAAGTCTGTCTAAAAGCTTCTTAAAGGCTTTATTCGTTCTCTTCTCTTTTGTTTGTCTTAAAAAAAGGTGTCCTAGGGGTGCCTGTAAAAAAAAAAAAAAAAAAAAAACACCTGCAACTATCAGTCCAAAGAGAGTCAAATGACAGTTTTTGCAATCAATCATCAAATGTACAGTGTTGTGAAGTCTGGAGTTTTTGTGTCTCAGGGACTTGGGAGGGCCATGTGAACCTGTGCCTTGAAATCCACAAATCCAAACTTTTGTGACAAATCATTTCAGATCTGCTGCTTACAGTATTCCATAAACCCTTTACTCTGGTCACATTATACATTACATGATCGTGTTTACTAGCTCAGTCAGCCCTTAAAGTTAGTGAGCATTCAAGATATAACAGTTTTGTTAGATTTATTTATGCTATATTTCTGTACTTTATAATGCAAATCACAGTGCAATCTTCATTTATTTATTACAAGAATCAGATACGTCATATTCAATATTTTCCTCATGTAGCATGTCTTTTTATAAGGGGGATTATGACAAATCTTTATTTTTTTTTCTGAATATAGCACAGCATTTTAACATCATTAACCTGTCTTATTTCAGATATAATTGTATTGTTTATATTCTGTTTTTAATTGTTGTTGTTTTTTGTTTTTTTTTATGATTTTTTAAATTGCTTTGGTTCAGAAAATGTTGATATCTGATCAGTTTTGTGATTTCCCACCTGCACAAACAGCAAGTTTAAGTTCTTTTATTTTAGATTTAAAAAAAAAAAAATTTTTTCATTTTACTTCTTTGAATCATCTACTCTTCATATAGTAGACGATATATGTATTGCTGCAGTTTTTAGAAAAACATTCCATTGTTTTCTGATTAAAAGAATTTGAAATGACTTGACACTAGAAAACTTGAAGTGGAAACACTTGAAGAACACTTTTTACGAACTCAAGACCCAGAATCTTTTTAAGTGAAAAAAATACTTTTTGTTTAAATTTTTTTTTTAGCCGCATTTAGCTGGACATCAGGTAATAAGTGGCCTAGACATAGATTTCCATGCTTGCATATAGTTTCATGAAAATCATTCCATATTACCATTTTTTTTTCAACGTTACTGTCACATTTAATGATGTAAATTATAATCGTAGACATTATATTTAAAAAACTACCGTATCAATTTAAATGTATAGATATTGAAAATACTAGCCTTTGTATTTAAGATGATTATGTATCTGTAGTATATATGTAATATATTTATACACAATAAATTTTTTAAATTTCTGAAATGAGGTGTTTGCATTTCATTTACATCAATTATATTAAGTTTTATAAATTTATTTATTCGTTCATTAATTAATACTTTTATTTTTCCTTCACAAAAGGGCACAAAAAGTTTTATAAATGTATTTATTCGTTCATTAATTAATACTTTTATTTTTCCTTTACAAAAGGGCACAAAATAAAAATTTTGAATATATATATATTTATATATATATATACTGTATATATGTATATATATATATATGTGTGTGTGTGTGTGTGTAATTTTTTTTCATACAAGACAATCTGTATAGTCAATAGCACGAAAACATTTTAATTTTACAATTTAAGTATTACTGCATGACATCAAAAACTTTATATATATTACACAATAACACCTTCCATAAAATGTACCACAGTGTGTATTAAAGGAAAATAAACACAATATATTAAATATCTTTCATAAATATTAAAAGTGTTTTACAAACATCTCAAGAAATAGTTTTAATTAGAATATTGCCAACAAGCAACATAGGCTGAAATCAAACACAAAGCTTACACAAAACTACTGTGGCAGCAGTGTTCACAAACCTGCAATAAGTGCACTTTTTATGGCTGCTACACATTTATGTAACATAACACAAGCTTGGTGAGAGCTTTTTTGGCATTGGATTTTATCATTCAGCACCATTACATCTCACCCACATAGGGTGCAATGTTAGAGTGCTTACATCTAGTGCTCTGTAATCCAGTACTTCACACAGTTTAAGGCATTTTTGGGTTAGTGTGCAGTTTGTAGAGTTTGCATGAATAACAGGGTAAAGGGAAACACTACACTGCTGGTGTCTGCTGATGATGTTAATACCTGTGCGTAAACATTCTCATAAAATACAATAATGTTTGGTGTATGCCCAAGGTATGTTGCGCCTAAAATGCAACCATCAAAAAAGCTACATTGATTTTTTTATTATTATTTTAATACCAACATTTCAGATTAGATTACTATATAATTTAATAATAAAATTTTCAGGGCTCAGCAGTTTCATAAAGTTATTTTACTGCTATGTACAGGCTAAACTGAAAACATGCAATGGCTTCTATGATATCAGATGATGGTTGAAATTAAATGCATATCACCAAAAATTATGAGGTTAATGTCGACTCTCCTTTTCATCCTCGTGAAGATTTTTTTCCCGTCTATATGTAGTCTGTTAAAAAGTGCACATTTATTAAACGAGGCTTTTCCTGCGTCACGTGCTCCAGCTGTATTCATTCCACACCGAAACACTTTCCGCGTTCACGATGCTCTGCACCGATCGTCCGTCGGGAGCACGCTTCACTCCGAACAGTTTGCACGCCGCGCTCCTGTACTTCTTCGACATGATGTTGTAGAGGATGGGGTTGATCGCGGCGCTGAGGTAAAACAGCACGAATGAGACCAGGTTGCAGTATTCGCTGATTTGGGAGATGAGAGGAGAATTGGCCTCGGATGACTTGGAGAAGAGATAACGACCGACGTGGAATGGCAGCCAGCAGAGAACAAACGCTAGAACCACCACAGCTGATAAAGAGAGAAAAAGAGAGTTCATGTTTTATTAGAAATTAGAAGTAGGCTACTATTAATACGATATTCTTGCAATAAGTACGTTTATGGAAAAAAGTTGTGACTTAGTAACAATTATTTCGAGTCGGACATTATGACAATGAAGTGAATCAGAATCAGTAACCGATGCGACTGAATGTTTCTGATTCACTAACAACAACCGGCTCAAAAGAGTCAATCGTTCGGATATTGGACTAAACTAATGAGACCGTAAGAGTCGTTCGTTCCGGAATGATACTACTCTAGTTACTGTAGCCTATGTGTTCTTTAAAATAATTCAATTCTTGTAAAAAAAAAAAAAAAAGTAAGTAGCTAGGCTATAAGTTGCTGTTCCTTAGCAACTGTAAACAGCCAACAGCCAATATTCATTCTGATTATTGTTCATAATACATATAAATTGTAATGTAAATGTAAGTAAATGTAAATTTATAACAATAATTGTATTATAAAATATATTTATTTAAAAAAAATAAAGTTGTATTTTATTGGTATATCTATATTTTGTAAAAAAAAAAAAAAAAAATCACTGTAAAACTCATTGCTTCATTATGCACATGGAATTTAATTAGCAGGTGTGTCCTCCTGTTAAATGTTTATTAAATCATTAAATTAGCCGATTTAATAATATAAAATAATGTTTATTAAACAATTACATATTTAAAGAGAAAATTAATTATTTTGTAAGATTTCCCGAGTGAAAGTTAATCTATTATTAAATGATTCTGAAATACACAAACATCATTTGTCAGACTTTTCAGGTCATTTTTGAGCTCACCCAGCATTTTGACCGTTTGTTTATTGTTCTTTTCCCGACTCGAAATGGGTCCGACAGGATTCTCCTTTCTTCTCCACAGTCTTCTGCCTATGAGGCTGTATAACACTGTCAGACAGAGGACCGGGAGGAAGAAGAACACGCTGGAGACCCACACCATCATAGTAAGCAGTCCGGAGCGGATGGCATATTCGGTCGCTTTACACTCATTGGTCTCCCAGGGGTTGGTGCCGTTCTCGTGCTCGACCCCAACCAGAATGAATATGGGTCCCGCGCTGCACAGAGCCACAGTCCAGAGGAGGAAAATCACCCCTTTCACCCGACCCCGCGTAACGATGACTTTTGCCCTGAAGGGAAAACAGATAGCGAAGTATCTCTCTACGCTGAGGGCGGTGATGTTGAGGATGGTGGAGTACGTGCAGCTTTCACTCACGAACTGAAAGAGTTTGCACAGCTCATCGCCAAAGTTCCACGGTCGGTACCGCCAGACCCGGTACAGGTCGAGGGGCATGCAGAGGAAAATGAGCAGGTCTGAAAGTGCCATGCTGCAGAGGTAAAGGTTGGTGGTGGTTCGCATGTCTTTGTATTTAGTGACCACCAGGATGGTCAACAGGTTCCCAGCGATTCCGACGAGGAGCAGGAAAGAGCACGTCACTGTGATGCCAGTCAGGATAGGGACTGGGAAGAGATGGACCGGGTACTCAAAGTCCTCAGCAGTTGCATTACTATCCATAATGTCCTCCGCGCATAAAGTGATGCTGA